CATTCCCCTACATATGGAATTGGGGTGGGGGGATGGGAGGGGAGGGTGTTTAGAGTGCATGTGAGAGGGCAGAGAGGGTAAAAGGGAGGGAACGAGGGAGGGCTGGATGGGGGGAGGGAGGGAGGGAGAGAGAGAGGGAGAGGGAACTGGGATCAACATGTAAAATAATAAATTAAATTTAAAAAAAATGCTTTGACTCCAAAATTTAAGTTGAAGGACAAGTTACTTGGGAAAAGGATTTCTATTTTTATTTCCACAGAAAATGAAAAGATGTGGATTCCAGACTAATGTGGTTTGATCATGCCAGACCGCCTGAAACAGAGTACCAGGTGATCCTACATTCAAAACAGCTGGACAAAACAGCCCTACAGACTACAGCCAGGATTTCTGCAGCTTCTTAGAATCCCCCATGACAACGCCCCTTACCAGCAGGAAGTAGTTTGGAAAGAACGACGCCCAAATTCCCAAATATTGTGTATAAATGTTTGTTTTCATTTAAATGGACTTGGTTATATAAAATTAAATAAAACAATAATTAAAAAAAAGAAAGGGAAAAAAAAGAAGAGTAAATATTCAATGGGTTCTGTGTTTCCCTTGTTGGCAAATGTGAGAAAATTTGTATCAAGGTGGAATTTCTTGGGGGAAAACGACTGCCAAATACAGTTCTGGTGATGTTCCAGGAGGCTTTACAGTCTAAAGATTTTTGCTTGTTTGCTGGCTTTTTAAATTTTCTTTTTTGGTTTTGGTTTGTTTGTTTCTTTGATGTTTGTTTGCTTGTTTGACCCAGGGTTTCTCTATGTAGCTTCGGAGCCTGCCCTGGAACTTTCTCTGTAGACTAGGCTGGCCTCAAACTCATAGAGATCAGCCTGTCTCTGTCTCCCAAGTGCTGGGATTAAAGGCATGTGCCACTTCAGCCTAGCTAAAGTTTTATATTATATATAATATTTTCCCCTTCCCTCCTTCCTCTAACCACTCACATGTACATGCTTCCTTGGTTCCCTCAAATTCATGGCCTGTTTTTCTTTGTTATTGGTTTGTGTGTGTGTGTGTGTGTGTGTGTGTGTGTGTGTGTGTGTGTGTGTGTGTGCATAAATGCAACCTTCTCAGTCCATTTATTGTCACTTATATGCACTATAATATCAAGACTGACCACTTGCTATTTGATAGCCAATTAGAGGTCTCCTCCCAGGAGAACACTAATTCTACTCTCAGTATTTCTGAAATTCTTTGTATAGGGCTGGGGCTCTGAAATTTTTTTTCCACATCACATACATTTTGGTGTATTGATTGTTCAGGTCTTATTTTAGCAGTCATATTGTTGGTTGAAGCTTCTCTGTCACTTCTAGGAGACACAATCTCACGGCACATTATCTGAACCTCTTTCTACTATAATCTTCCAATGACTTTCTCTGCAATAATCTGAGCACTAGATGTAGAAGTTGTGTTGTTGATGTTTAAATTGGGGCTGGTCAATTGTTTTCAATAGTTCTCATTTTGACCAGTTGTTTTTCTGCAATAGTCTTCATCTGTTATGAAGAGATGTTTATTTGATGAGGGGTGAGAGCTATATTTTTTCTTATTTTACATATCGATCCCAGTTCCCCCCCTTTCCTTTTCCTTTCCCTCCCTCTCTCCTTCCCTCTCTTCATCCCTTCCATCTTCCCTCCCATGTCCCTCGACCACCCTCCCATCCCATTACCACCCCCACTCCACAGGAAGGGTCGATGCCTTCCAGTAGGGATCAACAAAACCTATCCAGTCATTTTCCTCCCTCCTTCCTCTAGGTTAAGGAAGTATCTCTTAATGGGGAATGTGCTCCCAAAGTCCTTTTGTGCACCAGGGATACATCCTGGTTCCACTGTCCGAGGTCCTTTAGAATGCCCAGGCCTTCTAACTGAGACCCATGTTCAGGGGGTCTGAGTTGGTCCAATGGTGGTTTCCCAGCTATCAGTCTGGGGGTCCATGAGCTCCCACTTGTTCAGATCAGCTGTATCTGTGGGTTTCTGTAGCCTGGTCTTATCCTGCCTCTCTGCATCTGGATTGCAGTTTGGCTCAGCATTTAGCAGTGGGTGTCTGCTTATGTTTCCATCAGCTACTAGATGTGGGCTTTATGATGGTAGATACTTTAGTCATCAATCTCATTATCAGGGAAAGACCTTTATGGTAGCCTTTCCACTGTTGCTGAAATTGTTAGTTGGGGTCAGTCTTGTAGGTCTCTGGACATTTCTCTAGAGCCATTTTGTTCTTCAAACCTATAATGGCTCCTTTTATTATGGTATCTCTCTCTCTCTATCTCTATCTCTATCTCTATCTCTATCTCTATCTCTCACTCACTCTCTTTCTTTGTCTATTCTGCCCCTGACTCAGTCTTCCTAGCATTTAGGCTGTCTTTTTCCTACTTATTGTGAACAGGGGAGCAAAGAAGATGTCTGAGCAAGCATATTTCGATTGGGTTGTTGAATCCTTTGATGATATGCCAAGAAATGGTAACGCTTGATCATATATTTAATTTTAGCTTTTAAAGAATTCTCCACTGATTTCCAGATTGGTGGATCCAGTTTGCAATATCACTAATAATGAATGAAAATTCCTTTTTCCCCACATACTCATCAGCATTTGTTGTCATTTATTTTGTAGATCTTGGCCATTCTGACTGGGGAATGATTAGCTGTAATAGATGTTTTGGTTTGTGTTCAAGGATTTTAAAGGATGATAAATATATTTTAAGGTATTTCTTAGTTATTTTAGTTCTTTTGAAAACTCTGTTCAGAATTAAATCTCATTTTTAAATGTATTATTTGGTGATTGTTTACTTGTTTTAATGTTTCTTCTCTTAATTTTTATTTTAACTAAAATGTAATTACCATTCATTCCTCCACTCTCTTCAGTGTCTACATCTCCAACTGTTCCCATGCCTTCCCACATTTACTCCCTCTCAACAGCATGGCTTCTTTTTCTTTGATTGTTACTTATATATCTGTACACATAAAATATAAATGCAATAGGCTGAATATATTTAGTGTTGCTTGTATGTACATGATTTTATGGCTGATCACTTGGTAATATATCACCAATTGGGGCACTCATCCTTGGAAAAGACTACTTCTGCCTTTCTGTGCATGATTTAACTAAGTATAGTTTTTTGTCTAGAGGGGGATCTTGTTTCAGCAGCCATAGTGTTAGGTAACAATACGTGCATCTTCTTTATTCTGTAAGTTAAAATTTCACAACAGACTTCCCAATCATCTTCATCTTACAATCTTTCCATGTTCTACTTCTATAAAGTTATCTGGGTTTTATGTACAAGAATTAGGTTGACAATATATTTTATGTGTCTGGGTACCACAAAATCACTTGTTCTATTTTAAACAGTTATGGTTTTCTGTGATATCTTAACCTGCTTCAAAGAGAAGTTTCTTTTATGTGGGTAAGAGAAGTATTTAAAATGCAGTTAGAATTGCTGTTTTGTAAAGTGCTAGTACTAGGTTATCTACTAATATTCATGGTTTCATTAGTTCCAGGTGGTTGACTATTTTGCCAGTACCAGGTATTTTTATCTTCCCATTGGGGAGCTTAAATCCAATTAAAAAGCTGTTGGTTACCACTAAGATATTAATGCCTCTATTGCTCCTTTAGGACTAACTTGCTAGATTGGTCATAGGCATCACAGGTAGGTAGCAATATCGATTTATTCCCTGCCCTGGAAGCTTGCATAGTAATTTCTGCTACTATGAAAGCCAGTCCTTTAGGTTTTTCAGGTCAAATCTAGCTCAAATCTTTTGAGTCCTGTAGCTGAGATATATAGTGGTTTCAGTCATCAGGTTTACCTTTAACCCCTGGGAGGCAACCAATGGCAATAGACTTTTATAACCAGGTATTTCGTGCCTGGTTCTGGGGTTTTCTTTTTTAAGATGATCTGTCACTCTTATGAGGAGTATTATCAGCCCAGTTGGCAAAACTTCTTTTAGGATATGAACATACATATCACATGGAAGTTTTCATAAATAAAAAACAATGTTTCTTAAGGCTTTTTCAAATATCCTTAAGGCTATTTATCTCTCTCCCCTTCCTTCTTCTTTGTTTACCTTCCCCCCAACCCCAATTAAAGCCACTTCTCATTCTTTCTCCTCTAGTACCAGGTGCTTCAGGGGGTCTTTGATTACCATTCAGACATGATCAAGACCAAGAACCATACCACACATAACCAATCCTGAAAATGGCATAGAACAAAAGGGTAAAAAAAATTGAGAAACATTAAAAGATAATTTGATAATGCAAATTACAATAGAAATAAATTAGGTACAAGACTTTGGACTCACCAAGATAGCATAGATAATGGAGCATTTTCTCTGAATTTGTCAAATTCTAATGGGCTAGGCATTGTTGATGTACTTACTACCTGTACATATTGTGTATATTTATTGTACTTATTGTATATAGTTTTTCCTGTTATAGCCTTATTTTTATATTAGACAAAAAGGGGAATTGTGGTAATATAATATTTATGATTTAATAAGTTTTGTATGGGGGTTCAGAAAGCAAAACAGTCAGCCACTAGCTCTTACCTTTACCTCAGACCAAAATGGCATATCCTGTCTCCACAAATCCTTAGAGGCAAAATGCTCCCACTTCCTATCTCCTCCTGCCTTATATTCCTTTCTCTACTCAGCCATATCACTCATCCACTTCTCTGGTGCTGGGGTTAAAGGCATGTGATCTCAAGTGCTGAGATCACCTTTTGTGTGAGCTGTTTATCTCTTAGATTTGGATCAATTTCACGTAGCACAGTGTGGCCTTGAACTAACAGAGCCATCTACTTCTGTCTCCTAAATCCTGGGATTAAAGGTGTGTATCACCATCACCTGACTTTGTGGCATATGGCTATCTTTACTTTCTGAACACTCAGACAATTATTAAGTCACAAATAATATACCCCATGAGAAACCTCAGTCACAAAGATATGAATCTCTTAAAGGGTCGACCCCAAGTTCCTGAGGAACATGGGCTTTGCCATGAAGCACAAGAAAGGCCTAAAGAAAATGCAGGTAAATAATGCAAAAGTAATGAGTGTACATGCAGAGACCATCAAGGCCCTTCTGAAGCCCGAGATGGTTAAGCTCAAGATGCCAAAGTGCCCCATCCACAAATTTAGCAATCTTGCTTTCATTGCTCATCCCAAGCTTGGAAAGCTGATTAGAAGATATGTGACCAAGGATAGTAGGCTCTCCCAACCAAAGCCCAAGGTCCAAGCCAAGGCAGAGGCCTCAGCTGTATCTCAGACCCAGGCTTCAGCTCCATTTCAGACTCCCAAAGAGGCCTAAGCCCCTGTGAAGGCCCCATAGAAAAGGTATCTGTCTGCTACTGTGATAACAGATGGACTGGTGTGACAAACCTACACACGGTTTGCGCATGATCAGGACCCTATGCTGTTTTACAAATAAGCTTGAGGCTAGATCTGTTAAGTAAAAAAAAAAAAAAAATCCACTTCTCAGTGTCTCTCTGTTTTTCAGAGTTCTTTGTGTATCTAGACTTTAGTCCTCTGTCAGATGTATAACTACTAAAGATTCTTTTCCATTATCTGGACATGTCTCTAAGTTAATTATTTCTTAATCTGTGTAGAAGCTCTTTGGTTTTTATGGAGTCTTACTTGACAATTTCAGGCCTTGTTTCCTGGGCAAGTTGAATCCTATACAGAAAGTTTATTCCTATATGTTTATCATATCCTGTACTGACTTTTTTTCCTTCTACCAAGGTACAGTATTTCAGTTTTCATATTTAGATTTTATCAATTTAGAGTTCTTTGTTGTGCAAAGTGATATATAAAGATCTAATTTCACTCATCTGCATAGAGGTGTCCAGCTTTTCTAGGACAATTTGTTACAGATGATGTTTTTCTCCAATGTGTATTTTTACATCATTGTCAACATTAGATGACTATAGTGGCAAGTAATTATAGTTAGTCTTTTTATTGTTTCATTGGTCTACTGTTTGTTTCTGTGGAAGTACCAAGATATTTTGATTAAAATTAATTTATAATATATCTTGAAATCTGTAATTGTAATTTCTCCAGTATTTTTGTTTTATTTTTTATGTTAGTTAGTTTGTTTGTTTGTTTGCTTGCTTGCTTGTTTTCCCAAAATGGCATGGGCTTTTTGGGACTTTTGTGGTTCCAAATGAATTTTAGAATAGTTTTTCCTTGTATTTCTGTGATTAATGACATGGGAATTTTTATTGGGATTGCATTGTATCTTAAATAGAATTTGGTAAAGGTCATTTCAACAATATTAACTCTAACCAACCAATGAGCTTGGGATGTCATTCCACTTTCTAGTGTCATTTCCAATCTCTTTCTTCAGAGATTTAAAAGTTATATGTAATGATTTTGTCATGGTTGATGACATTTATCAACTTTTCCTAAATTATACATTTAAATGTCACTTGTTCCCTAACTTATTGTATTGGTATTTTAAATGTAAGATCAAAATAAAAATTTGAACTGTACATTTATGTCCTTTTTTATTTAAACAGGAGAGTGGGCAGATGGCTCATAGGATAAGAAGGCTTTCTGTCCAATTCTGGAAATTAGAGTTCAGTTCCAAAACACTTGGTAAAGTGGAAGAAAACAAAATCAACTCCACAAAGTTGTTCTCTACACACACACACACATACACACACACACACACCATGACTCACATGTACACATATATGGACAAATAATTTAAAATTAAAAACCTAATGGTGTTTCAATAATTGAACACCCAATTCATACCTGCCACCATCACATGGAGTTACAAATAAGACTAAAATATGCCACAAAATGACCAAACTTGCTTGCCAATTTGACACAGTCTCACCATACATTAAGGAACTACATTCATAACAGGGCTTTCATTTTGTTCATATCTCACACTGTTTAACACATAGTCTTTCATAACCATAAAAAATTTATTCACTTTGATAATATAGACATAGTAAATATCATGATAACTGAAAGCTTATCATATTACATTATTAATTGAGTAACTGAGAAATGGACTAATATCAACTCTGAGGTGATTATTAGAAATGTCTCTCTACTTACACTCATTTGTAGCACTTGAAATAATTCTCAACAGAGAAATCCCTAAAATGTGTCCAAGATAATTATAGCCAGAGTTCTCATTTTCTGAGGACATGGAACAAGTCAATTCACCCATGGGACAACTCTAAGCAGGGAATATAGGTCAGGCTGAGAAGAAGTACTTCCAAGAGACCATCCCTGTGTGACAGATGACTACACAAGCACACATCAGATGGAAGAAAATATGAATTTGGAGAAACACATGAGTTTGGTGAGTTCAGTAAATCATCTCATCTCTCTGACATTCTTCTCTAAGATCATTCTCTAAGAAATATTTCTATGTATCTCTTTTATCAATTCCAATTATATGTGGACTTGAGCAATGTGTCTTTATCTTCTGTCTTTTTTAGCAGTAAATCATTGGGTTTTCTCTACCTTTCTTAATCCAACAGCAATTTATGAGAATAAACATCAGGGCACACATGGCCAGAAGGCACATCCTCAGTATGTTAGTGTCCGCATCAGAATATCATCATTTCTTAATTAATGATAAGTATAAGCAGCTACCAGCTAACATTTCATAGTAATTATCTGTATTTTAACCAAATAGAGTATTGTTTAATCATGGAGTGCATTGTATATAAAATAATTTTCAGCCTAGAAATAGTAAATATAATAACATGTCAAGGGAGCTTGCTGTTCATCTCAAAATTCAGATTAAAGCAATTTATCAGCAAACAAGACATTATGATCATCTACAGAACCACCCTAAGTCATGAGGACCTATTATGTGGTATCTACTAAAGTAAATAATTTTCACTATATTCACAAATGTTCATAAGAGTACAACATATTGTCACTATTACAGACTTTAGAACTTTGATAAAAAAAATCTACATGGAAAAATATTTAGAAAAAAAGAAAAAATACTTAGTTAATGGTGATATAGTTTGGAGTTCTTTTGTTGATTTTTTTCATCTAAAAGCCAAAATTAGCATTTTTGTGAGAATTGCCACCAATTTAAAGATAAGAATTACAGATCAAGTGACAGAAGATTCTAACAAATCTAGGCCCTCTAAAATACTTATAGCACACATGAGCAAGGGAAGAAATAACTCTTGTTCATCTAAGAAAGCAGAAAAGGAAGCATGAAATGGGTATTAGATCTCTGGAAAGTAGTCAGCATGGCAAATACATCATTTGCACCTGCATATCCTATAGTTACTGAATAGATGTATATCAACTTGGAGTAAATGTAAGCATGTGTATTTTAAAGAAAGGAGACTTTATGTATTCTCTGTGTGTGTCTATCTCTGTATCTCTTTCTCTCTGTTTCTGTCACTGTCTCTCTCTCACACATACACACAAACACACTCTTCTTAAACATAGTGTTCAGTTGAAAAATCCTTGCCTAAAACCCTAAAACAGTACAGAAACATTGTTTTAAGACATACCTGAAAGAATAGAGAAAGAGCCATTCCTATGAATCATTTCACTCCAGATACTATAGAAAACCTTGTTTTCTTTTACAAATTCACAACATAGCTTTAAATTAATTTTTTAATTTTGTAAGTAGAGAAATGTAAACAAATACGTTTAGGGCAAATCCATTTACAATATCAACTGCTAATGAGAAATCAATCAGATATGACTTATTTTAAAAAAAATCTATGTTTTGTCTAATAATTGTGTTAAATATTGGTGAATGTTAATAGATTAACAATTCTTGCACAACTCTGAAAAATAACAATATAAAACTTAATTTTATTAGCCAACTACTTCCTAACAATGTATATGGTCATCTTGCAGGAAATCTATATCTTAAATATATGAAATATTAAATTTCTACCATCCATGTAAATTATTCTAGAAGACATGGAACTGATTTTTGAAAATCTGTGCTGGAAATTTTCAGGATGACAAGAAACTTATTTAGAGGTAGGATTCAAATTATCAAAATTTTCATGGAACTTGGACCTATATGATGTAATATCAGCATTATTTCCTTAGAGAGTCTAGTAATGTCTAGAAGGTGCATATATTTGGAGTATTCAATACTCATCAATTAACATGCTTCTGTTGCAAATGAATGTGTTACCTGATGTTTTATTTATTTTCATCCTAACTCCACCCTTCTAAACTCTTATTTAAAAAACTGGAAGATGACTATAACTCTGATGATAATGTGAAACCTCCTCTATTGCCTCACCACAGTGATTTCAAAAAATAAAACCTAAAAAATTGAAAATCACCAAGAAAATTACTGAAGATGGGAGAAACTGGGCAATGATTTCCCAGCAACCAGCTTGAGTGTTTTCCATTACAGATCACTATAAGCATTCCACCTGTGCTTTGAGGTGAATAACTACTGTTCACTGGAAGTTCACCTCCACATCCATCCAAGGTTGACAATAAAAGGCACCCTTTGCTTACATGTTTATGTAACTTATTTTCTTCTTTAAAACAATACAAATGATCAGTAGGTGAGTGACAAAATGAGAAAGTATATGAGTTAGATGAAACATTGCCCATGTCAGGAAACTAAGAATTCTCAAGACTAGTTGATAAAATCCAAGGTCAGTTTTTTGACTGCTAAAACTGAACTAAATCTAACTTTCAGAGTTCAGGTTTGAATATGAGTTGCCTTGTTCTTTGGTTATCACTATTACATGTATTTTCAATAATAGCTTGCTGATCAGTTTAGCTAAATAAATTCTATGATAAAATTTTATTAACAAAATATTGTGTTTCTTATTTTCATATAGGAGTCTCAAACTGTATTTCTGTTTCTTGTTTTTGTGTTTTCTTTTGTATTTTATTTTAAAACAGTCTTTTCTCATTTTACATACCAATCCCAGTTCCCACTCCCTCCCTCCTGCTCCACAACCCCGCCCCTCATCCTCAATGAGGGTAAGTCTTCTCATGGGAAATCAATGAAGTCTGGCACATCTCTTTGAGGAAGGCCCCTATGTCAAGGCTGAGCAAGGTATCCCTCCAAAGAGAATGGGCTTCAAAAAGCCAGTTCAAGCACTAGGGATAAATCCTGGTCCCACTGCCAGTGGCCCCACAGACTTCACAAGCCACACAACTGTCACCCACATTCAGAGGACCTAGTTTGGTCCTTTGCAGGTTCCCCTGCTGTCATCAGTCAACAATCAGTTGACTCCTGTCAACTCCCACTACTGTCAGCTCCCACTAACTCAAATCAATTGTTGCTGTGGGTATCCCCAAAATGGCCTTCTTATATGGTTTTCTGTATGG